AGTGCACTCAATTGAAGATTAAATGCGCTCTGAAAATTTTGTGAAGGGAAAAGAGGAGAAGAGGAGCACTTGAGTTGAAGCATTTATTCATTGGCAATTCGAAGTAGTTGACGATGATGATGATGATGAGTGTCTAACGCTAATCACAGCAATCCCCTTTCTTTTGGCAATAACTAAACCAATTGCGTTTATGATACGTATTCATCATCTCAGATGCGACTAGGACCTATACGATGCAGTTGCATCCGAGGATGTTCGTGGTGCAACTTTTTTTAGCTGCATTCGATGTGTGCCATCATTAGCTGTTAAATTCAGTTTTACAGAGTATTTTTCGTTTCGTTTTGGTTACTTTTTTAAACTTTGTTCAGACAGATCGCTACTGATGAGCATTCATGGCTCATCATATTGGCTGTTGTTGTTCGTCTGTGCAGTGCAACGAGACCGTCTAAAAGCGTTTATTTTGACGGCATCATTCCGTTTAGACTCATTCATTTAAGATTTCGAAAGGAGGATTCATGTGTACAAATCTTTTTCGTCAACTTTTCTTTTCAACATCACTCCGCAGTGTCTCAAATCATCGCGTATTCTTCTGAGTGATGCAATCAATGAAGTGAAATGCGCGAAAAAATTTAAAACTTCATTTTGAGTTGAGGAATCGAACCAACTCAAATCCAATTGTGCATTGACCTCTTTCACTAGATCTCGTTTCGTCTTGTCAGTACTACTGAAAATATCACCTCAAATCGTTAGTTCTGATTTGAGGTGATATTTTCAAATCCGAACATATTTCTGCGTAAATCGGCCCATTTCGTGCTCATATTTTCAGATAAAGCAAGTCGCATACAGATAAATGTGATCTATTCGGATATTGATTGAAGCCGTTCATTATCTGTTGTTGACTATACGCAAGTATCGAAGTGTTGGTCTGTCTGATAGTGACAGGCATCGTGCATTCGAAAGTTTGTTGACTCGAAAGGTGAATAAAAAGCACAAAGTGATCCCAGAAGATTTAGTGCAGTCGTTGCTACATGATTGCCCCTTACACAACAATCGCTTATTGCACAAAAGAATTGAACACTTCCACCGGGAGGGATAACTTGATTAGCTTTTAACTCTCTAGAGATAATCCATTCAGCATAAGTAATCAGTCTTTTTGTGTGCCGACCGACTAGAAACTGGTTTTCTTTTTGCGCTCTCTTTCCGATTGCACTGCACCAAATTCAATCGTCTGAGAATGTCACAGCACAGTTTGCGCTTCTGCAAATAGCACATCAGGTGCACCAATTTCTTACTGTTTACAGTCGTCACTAAAACTCCAAAATTTTAAGCTGGCAGATGTAGATTTAGGCAAAAATTTCCTGCAGCAAGTAACAGTATGTTAGATTCGAATATGATTATGCATTCGAAATTTTNTGTGAAAGTGAGCTATAATTTTCCGGGTAAATCGTCGTCACTGCTGTTTTCGCTCAAACTTATTTCGAATTGAGGATTCATGCGGAATATTAAACTAATGATAACGTCTTTGTCCCCTGAATATACCTAATTGAAATTGTTCTTAACAGTGGTTGTTATCGGAAGGAATCCAATGATAGGTAATACTAATTTCAACGGAGAATGTGGATTTGATCCACTCTTCAAGAAGTTGTTTAAGATGTTTTGGTGATTGAGAATGTCGCATTATATGGTTCAAGCTATAATCGTTCATATGACAGACGAATTACATATCTGATCCACTCGTGTTCGAAAATTACAAATCACTACGGACATAACATGTAACATGTAACTCAATTAACTGATATGTCAGCTCTGGTGAAATCCCAGAGCGCCATAAGTCATAGATCTGGCTTTTCGAGCATCATTTTGAATTCTCGTTTATAATGTCTAAGGGTAACACCCATGGACGATCAAATTTGTCGTACAATTTGTACTTTTTATCCATCGTATTATCAGAATTGACCATTTCACTTAAATCTGTATGCTTTAGATACATTAAAAACATTTATTGTAAATACTGACACATTTTTCAAAAAAGAAATGCGAGGCATAGTTCTGATCTCATTCGTTCATAACTATGTTTTCTTGATATCGTATAAGAACTTTCTTCTTATTTATTGAAGCTGGATACAGCATACAGTGTTCGCTCGAGTTCTTTGATAGTAAATGTGTTGTGCGATCTTACCAGACCGAGGTGTTCATTCGCTTAAAGGGAAACCAAGCGATGAAATCGAAGAGAGCATTCGAAAATGAAACGCATTAATTTCAGGATCACCGTCCGTGCAGAGAATCGGTTCTCCGCGACTAGTGCACATGTCTTCGTCGGATTACGTTACATCTGGCGGTTACGATACGTTGATACAATCGAATCCATACAACGACGAAATGGCTGGTGATGGATGGAAGGTTAGGGCATTTTTATACATGATGATCTTAGCGAGTTTTCAGATTATGATTGATAATGACGAAAACTGAAGCAATCAAGGTGCTTATACAAAAGCTCATTTAGAAGCAGAAGCCAGCATCAGGATCTCTAATCGTAAAGAAGATTAAGAGTAAATTCTAAACTTATGCTTACATTTTGGCCGATGACAGGATTTGTACCACGTTTCGTGGTAGTGTTGATTTAGAATCAACCAAATTACCTGGATTACCTGGATTGGCCAAGCTATCAAACGTTTGTAACGTTGCTGGCCACAATGCTCGCGTTTACGTGCACCACATTGTTTTAGCCTCAATTTACGCCACCCCGCTGTCTAGGCGAGCAGGCGAACGGAAGTCAACCAAAATTTAGAATCAACCAATTACATATCATAATAGCTGCATACAAGAACGCTTGAAACTTTCCTGTTCGACCCATGTAAACATCAAATTTTTCTATCCAATTAGTGTCCTGATGACAACACATTACTCGAAGTCTTTCAAAAACTATGTTTCTCTGATTTAGTCATTCAACTTTTACGTCTATCTGACATGCTCTATTCCGAAGATAAACTGCTCAGCACTCACCCAATCTTTAATGTTCTCTATTTAGGAAGTCATTGAAAATCTCAGTGTTCTACTTCGTTATATATTCGCGGCATGTTTCCAGCAACTTATTCCGTCGCCTACAACCCGATATTACCTCAGCGATTAATTCCATGATAGGGTGAAAAAAGAACTGCCTCTTATGTATAACTGTGAGAAGATATTCTTTTTGAATGATTCTGCTGTTGTTTATCCTTAATGCTCGCGGTTCCGTTCCATGGTCACACACAATGAATCAATCACGAATCGGAATTAGAGTGAAATGCAGTGACTTAAACTTGCTGATGTTCATACGCACCACTGCTTACGCATTTTACTCGTCACTTCAGTCGTTCTTAATATTCATACATTACCCACTGCTCGCTTTGATTAAGCGCTGTGCTGAACGTGAACAATGTCAGCTTCCGTTCACGTCTGCACGGCTCTTTCTGGCTACGACTTGTAAATGCTTCTTTCCTAGAGCAATATTTTATCACGAAACACTGGTTTTCCAAATGTTACCAAGACACTATTGAGTAATCGCTAGCGAAAGTTTTTTTATTGAACCATATTGTTGAAGATAAATTGGGAAAATTGCAGCTGCTTAAAGTGGAGCATTACACTTCATTAATACCATCGTTAACATTTCATGAACTGAATGCAGAGATTTCTGATGAATTTTTCAATTTTTTGCATTTCAACAGAAATATTACCAGTCACGCTTCACCTGCATGCAAAATCATGTGCACTATATCACTTTTAAGAACTCCGCTGCTTTCGAAAACATATGATGCTTTAAGATTTGGTCGAATTGATTGAAGTGAGGAAAATTTTGGCTGAAGCATGACGTGGTCTGTGAATTGCAATCACTTCAGCGTCAGTTGATCCTGATTGGATGTGATGAGGAAATTTGCAGCTTCGGAGGAATACGCCTGATTACGCCTGTGATTGTTTGTTTGATCGACAGAGCAATTTCTCTGTTGCTTCAACTACAATACTGAGATTTGCAAAAGCTCTCAAAAACGAAAAAATAATTCTCTTCAGTTCGAAGATTCAGCCGATGAAAAACCACTTCGTTTTTGGGCCTATCACAGTCCAGCAGTAGCGCTTTTTTCGAGACTATATAATGCTTTCTCGATTTCTCAAAGTTCCTGTCTTCCACTATCTTTAGTGTTTATGCATGACTTTGAAGCATTGAGAGTAGCCTCGAAATTTCCATCATCGACGCGGGACCAACTTTTTAGTGGTGCGATGCGATGTGTTGAACAGCGATTCATAGTTATCATAAATCACAAAAGATTCTAACTGACTGACATGCCATACGTGAAGGCTGTTTATTGTTCACGACAGGATTGCTAGGAATTGTCTTGCGTGCAATTGTTTCTTCTATTTCTAACTGCAATATTTCATAAACTGTCATCACTGCAGCTTTTCTTTTGCAGAGTCGTGCGTTTGCAGGTATTTCTTTGGCTGGAACCGCTTAGGATTCCACATTCGATCGGCATGAATGCAGCCTCATAACTCTCATACTACGCCTAATTTTTTCAAGGCAGACACTCAACATGTGGTATTGTCCTGATGTTTTCAGGGTGTTAAAATTCTTCACAGTTGCTTTTCTACTGATGTACTGTCGACTTTCTGTTTCTGCTGGAAATGTTCAAAATTCGTTTGCTTCATCCCAGATGAGATGTTTGTTGAACTTGCGAATTCAATCTGAGTTCAGAGAACACACGAATATTGCAGTAGTATGTTTTCATGTTAAGGTGGCTAGATTATTTAATTGCTTCGCACACAACATCAGTTGAATCGTTATAATATTTATGAGCGTGCTGAATTGTCATCAACATAATATTTTTTGACAGCTTTCAAGTAGATTTGTTGAACGATGAAAGTGTTTCATGTCAACGTGCTCAGCCATTTCAAAGAGCAGTCACGTCCGCTTTAGTTTAATTGAAATGATTTTTTCACATCTTGCATTGCACATCTATCTTGCAACCAACCGACCACTCACTTATCATATTGCCTCATTTGCGATGCCAATAGCATCATGAATCCACTGAGTCGTGAATTCTATTTCTCAACATTTCAACTGAATTTTTTCCACTTAAAATGGACTAATTCGATTTAATTATTATAATATCCCAGTTTGTTCGTCCTATTCAATGGATCTCTCTTTTCCTTTGCTAACCTGCTCCCATATATTGTGTCGTTTACGATCTGGAACAACTTTTGTGATTATGACTAGCTGTTCGGTTGCTGCTGCCTCATTAGGTATGACATACTAGCAGTCGGTATTCCGTCAACTTATGCCCCGTTTACCAATCACGGATTAACGCACTTTTTTAACGAAACTAATCAGTCAGAATGTTCTAAAATCATGATCATTAAGGAAATCGCAATGTTCATCGAATGAACTCATTACTAAGCAAAAATAACGACGTTGTGAGAAGTTGAAATTTAGATCTGGGATAAAAATCTTCAGATACGAAAACGAAAAAGTTGAAACCTAAGGAGTATTTATGAGGAATGAATGGAAGAGCTTGAAAGTGCATGACAGCGGATTAATCGTTTGCGGATTTGTTTATATAACGGTCGTTGTTGAAGTGAATAGCCAGCAGCCGTCAGTGCATCATGAAGATGTGCTGTGAAATAACGCATCCTTCGTTTTTAGAGCAGTTTCAGAGCAATCGCTCTAGTTTCATGACAACTCCTTAATGCCACTAAAATCTCGTCCACAAGTGAGCTGCTAAACTTGCATATGATTTTTAATCATCCATAAATTCATCTATTCATGCCTTCCAAATTCTATTGTACTCAATAATGCCAAAGATGTATTGTACTCATCTTAAAGTTTCACGGCATCTATAGAGATTGAATTTGCTGGGCCGAATAATGCGAATGATAAACGACCTTTTAATGTGCTGCACTTCTGATTCGAATTGGTGGTCGATGCTCGATGATGCGTTCATTCCAAAAGATTGCTTCGATTCGTCTCTAATCAAGCGGAAACAAGAATTCATTATGAGTATTCAATCGAGCTAGTTAGTGCCTTGCCGATTTTGCCTCAAAACGTTACGAACAATTAATTCCAGCCCAGAAGATACTCTCATGTTAGGATTCCCGATCTGGTCGTTATCACGCAATATTTCAGACATATCGAACATTATTCATTCATATGCTGCCACCTCATGGTTTGCCCACGCATTTATCAAGCAACGCTTCTGCTAATGGGATGAAATCAATTGCGAGCATGTTTTGCGATGTTACTGAGATTAATTGATTGATTACCTGCCAGCTTTTTCGCACATATCTCAGAATTGTGAAGTACGCTTGAAAACATAGTGGGAGCTCGATGGATCCCGCATAAGTAAATGGATTTGAGTCAATTATATGGAATCCCACAGTGCTTTGCTAATGACACTCCTATCACAGTTATATGTTCAAATCAGATTCACCAAGATGAAGCCATGAATCATAGGAAAGACACATTTGTCCGGCAAGAAATTATATAGTAAATGCATCGTTACATTGACGATTTTTCCAAGGATTCGGTTGACTTCTCTTTAAATTGCCTTCCAAATAGAACGGATGAAAAAAAAAGTTCCTAAAGATTTTTAGCTTGCTTGCGTTTTTCGTCCACTGAAGTATTTTATCATATTACTGAATTTTGATCTCTTCAGTCGAACATGACATCCATTCAAAGAGTTCAGTGGATCTGGTTAACAGCCGCTTTCTGAGGTTCCCTNAAATGTCAAAAGTTACCTTGTGATTTTCAACAGATTACATTCGTCGTTTTGTGACCCTATCTAGCTATCTAGCTTCACTTGTGAATCCACGTTCTCACTACCAGAAGGTTCCTCCAAGGCATACTCCTTCTCGTCCAGTATCCATGAATTTTGGGATGTAACGATTGTGACTCGTAGAGTTTTAATCAAAAATCAAAATTTGATTTGATTTGATCAAGAAAAGAACACAATTTTAATGAGAAGTTCATCGAACATCAGCGAAGTACACACTGTTTATGAGCGATGATATATGGCACCATCGATTAATAAGCGGATGCTAAATGGGCATTCGGAAGCGCTGAATATGGATGAGAGTGCGTGTTGGATTATGATTGCGGCATCAGGTTATTATCGAAACGCGTCGGCGAGGATTTCAATCGAATGCCGAAGAATGCAACGTTGATGTTGTCGTCGTTAGCACACCACTACGTAAAGCTTCATTCATCCGAGCTGCTATATCGTCGCCATCTCCTTCATCATGCTGTTCATTTTAATCTTTAATCAGTGATTTTCTTTGCTCAACTCATTAAATCTTCGCAAACATTTCGTTGCTAGACTGATGTTGCTCCAGTTGAGAGCTAGAGGTTGATTTGTTGATAGTAATCGTTCCTCATGACTGAACTTCATGATAAAGAATTGTGCGAGTGAGCACAATGAACAACTAATTGAGGACATCATATCGATGTCGGAAACGTTCCGCGGCTCGGAAAAGATTAATTGTAATCTGTGCTCTAAAGCTTAGTTCTGCCTTAATCTGTGCTCTAGAGCCTGTTTA